TAAATAAATGCTAAATGTATAAAACAATAATAACAACGTCCTGTTGTGTTTTTACTGTAAAGAAAATTAAAATGCCAAAAAAGTAAAAAATAAAATAAAAAATGGCAGACTGGATCCGTGAGAGAGTTGTATTGCTAGACCAATATATAGCAGTGGATTTTTTCTGACCTAGAAGGCAGGGATGGAATTTCCTAGCAGCCCTAGCAACTAACTGCTCTTGCAAATAATTTCAAAGGGATGTTCTTTAAGATGACAGCTTCTGGAAAGTCCACTTATGATGGATTGACAGAGGGAGCTGCGGAGTCAGCTTGTGTACTCTTCAGCCAGACCGGGGCTGTAGCAAGGTGAACTGAGAAATGAGGTTGGTGCCAACCAGGCTTAAAATTAGACATGGTCTCTTTCTGGCAGTTTCAGGGAAAAGGAGTTTTGCATATTTATGCCTTAATTATGCAGACCTACTTTCAGGGTTCCTTTGGCTCAATTCAACATGCAGATCCAAAGAGCACCGATGGCTTTCTTCTCACCTGAACTATGTGTTTCTTTAACTTTAAACGAAATTGCTTACCTAAAGGAAATAGGCTCTTGGCAAGAAGTTGGCCTACAACAGGCATTCTTGCATGGACTTTATTCTTTGGGCTGCATGTTCCTACTCTCAACCAGAGTATTCTAGAAAATCCCCACTTCACAAAATATCAAAGGTGAAAACAGCCTTGGAAATTACATGGTAGTCCTGTCCCCTCTTTAGTTTTCCACATTAGGGAACTGCAACCCAGAGAAGTGTGGGGCGGCCAAGGTCATCCCAATCCTGACAAGCAAGGCCTGCGACCCAGGCTTCTCCACCCTCGTTCACTGCTCTTCCCCTCCATCTTTTGCCCAGAGATGATACGTGATGGGCTTTTCAAATTAATAAAAGAAAAGAAGGAACGTTCTCCAATGCCACTTTCAACCACGGATGTTGCTTCCAGTGTTCCCAAATAGTCAGCATGCCTTGGCAATCATGGATTGCATTACCTCTTAATTAAAGAACTAGAAAGAACCAACCCTGCATGGAGCCCGGACTGCAGAACGACCTGTAATTTAAAAGATAACAAATTTTTTAAAAAACCACCCTTAGCACCTGTTTTCGACTATTCACACCCCCTCCCCCCAAATCATTTATGTACAGTACGTACTAACTCTGCTCCCCTCTCACTTCTGCCTTTGAAAAAGACACACGTCCGCGAGGGGAGGTTGGGACGCAGGGGAAGTAAGGTGGAGAGGCAAAGGCCCTCGGAGGTTCCAGTCCCAGTGGCCCTACCGACGACGGGCCCGAGGCGCGGGCACGGGCAGCCGTGCGCACGCGTGCTGGACCGCAGGCGGCTGCACCCCGCTTTACTGAGCCCTTCAGCGCTGCCTTCTCCCCACGGCCAACGCCCCAAGTTCGGAGTGACAGGGGATGGCAAGAGGAGGATCCCAGGGCACCCTCAGAAACGACGTTTTGGAAGGTCCCGGGTGGGTGAGCAAGAGCAAGGCAAGGACGTTGAGGGCAAGAAATGTTGAGCCGCCCCCCTAGCCCGGGCTCTGCAAGGGTCTGAGCGCGGCGGGGGCGCTCAGCTCCGGACAGGGGAGGGGACGGCGGGGTGGGCTGGCTCTGCTCGGGGGACCCTGAGGGGCGGGCCGGAGC